AAAAGATAAAAAATTATCTTTTATAAATATCCCTTTTCTAGCTCCCTCTAATGATTCTCCAGATTTTACTTTGGAGGAGGTAAAAATTTACTTTTACCTTTGTACATGTACAACAATACACATTTCTGTTGACTGGCACCAAAAGAAAGGATGCATTAGCCTGTTATAACTTTTATAAAAACACTTGTACATTCCAAACATGCACAGGAGTGAACCTGTGTCTGTGACTTAGTACCCTTTCTCAAGGTATGCTTACTATAAAATAATATACTTCTAAAATTATAGACATAGACTGGAGCAGTGATACTGTACGACTAGGCAGGCCGACCCATTTGCAATGAAAGACCTTGCAAATTAAGTTATGTTGACAGTTGTCACAAGCGATACTTAAATGACACCTGATATCAGTGCTCTGATCCCATTTACTATTATGTGAACTATAATATGCGTTTGCTTCAACAAAATCTTAGATTATTGTCCTTCATTATATTTGTAATAGCAATAAAAGGGTCACAATACACTGTCCAAAGTCTAGCTCTACTACTTACTTACTAGTAGCAATTAACTTTTGCTTTTAATAGCTGGGTCTTAAGAACAATAGCTGTAATTCCATTTGGAATAAGCAGCACTGAATCCAATGGGACATTGGGATGTAAGAATGTATAAAATTGGTTTCCATGTTTGATGTCTGCATTTGCAATCAACTGCACACTTACAGTGCTACAAGTTTCACTGATTTCAGTGGAACTTGATTCTAAGTAAACATAATTCTGATTGGGCTGTAAGCCATTTTATGAATAATTTGAAAAATGATTTAAGATTTCTGCAGGAAATATAGAAACTCTTTAGTGTGCCTATATTTAATTTCCAAAAAAATACAAAAAGGAGGTTATGTCCAGCTTTAGAGTAGACTCACTGAAATCAATAGGACTTGAGTCATAACTTATTCCTAATCAAACTTCTGAAATTAATGGAATTTTAATTAGCCATTAATTACAGTTGGGTTAATTCAAGAGGTGTATTCTGACTATGACATTGTATGGATCAAACCCACTGAAATTTTATAAGCAGGGCATATATTGAAATGAGTACATTTGTCTAGGCATTTAGACCATATAATAAAAACAACTTTATTTGATGTAGCCCAGCAAGAAACTATGAAAATTTGATCTTTAAGACATGAAAATAAGGCTCAGTTGAAACAATAAAAACTTACTAGTTCTTGAATCAGTCTGACTCTGATATGCAGAACCTGATAACAAAAGATGTGTTTTAACCTTCTACACTACAGTAGAAATCAACTGTCATGGATATGACACAGTATCCTATATCTACATTTGATGCAGGTATTTGACACTATGTGGTTTCAGTATTTCAGTTAATTTCACTGGAAGACAACCTAGGAGAAATATCTGAAAACTAGCCTCACCAATTTTAAATACAGCTCAGTGAAATTAGGATGACAGCCTTAGGTTATGACTCTGAGTGATACCAGAGTTCTTCAAAGTAATTTTTGTCTCTTTTAAATACTAACAAAAATGTAAATGCCCATGAAAATTGAAGAGTTGTGAATACAGAAACATTTTAATCAGGATTTTACAAATCTGAGTTCCCTGGCCATTAATCATCCTTTTGCAAAATCCTTATGGAGCAAATTACTAACTGAGAGGGGACGCCAATTCTAGTAAGTGAATGTTACCCAGCAGGGATATAAAGCTGTCAACACCACAGAGCTCTTGCTTGCTTTAACCTCTCTCCCAGGCGTCATGTGTTTTAAAGAGATATTCGCCTTTTTCTCCCACAGTCTGGCTATAAAAGCTGCCAATCATGACTATCACAGCACTTCTGTTTTATTACATAGATGTTTGAAACAGAGCACTTAGATAACTGCAGGAAGTGCTAGAATACCTAAAGCAACCACAAAAAAATTGCTAACCCTCACTAGTTCAGCTAAAATTAGTACAATAAACAGCACATTTTTAAATACCTAAAGGAAAATACCTGGAAGAAATAGACTTTTGCCTAAATTTTGTTTTCACTTTTCCAAGAGTTCTCGTTCTCTCTCTCTCTCTCTCAGTCTCTCCCCCCCCCCCGCAAAACAGTTTCTAACTCTAGAACAGTTAATGTGCCATTATCAACTGAACACATTTCCATAAAATCTCTTTTACAATACCATTCTCTATTTTAAAGTGAAGTACAATTGCACATCCTTGCAGACTTCCTTTGCTTAGAAACACCATTATTAAAATAATAAAGATTACCAGAGATATGTCTATTAACATGGTTCATCATTTGGTGGTAGCTTCAGAACTATTAACCCTTTGTTTAAACAAACAACAGTCTAAACACAGGGCAGGATCAATATATCTCCTTTTTTTCCCCAGACGTAAGATAAGTAAGGATTAATTGACATGCCTTTTAAAAGGGGGAAATTTTCCTCAGCTGTTCATTAAAGTTCAAACTAGACTAAAAGTGAACTATCTTGGAAGTCTTTTCACTATACAGTGTACTGAATATTCCTTTAATGTAACTAGAAACCTTGCTAACTCACTTTCAAAATGCAAAAATTTATACATGTGGCATTAGTTTTCCTTTCTGATATCATTATTTATTTTCACATCTAGAAAAATCAGATCTGAGAGCTGCAATTAAAAAGGTACAACATTTGTACTATTTTGCTATAGGTTTTGAAGCCACTTAAGCCTCTTCTGATACACAGATGGTAACTTGTGCACTAAAATGTGAATCATTTCCTTGCCTTTTTAAATTAAAAATAAACTTTAGAAGGACAGTAACAAAAGGCCTTTTATATTACTGTTGCCAGGACAAGCTTTTCTAATATAAAACAAATATCACCGTTAAACAATTATTGCCTTATCAAGGTAATCTGGTTATTACTGAGTATTACTGATTTGAAAATCAGATCTTTTCATTCTTGTTGGCATCTGTAAGCAAGTCCTCAAACTACAAGAATGAAGCACAGTTAAAAGAGAAGTGTAGTACAAGTTCCTCCTTTGAATCAGTTAGCAGTCCAAAAAAATATTGTTTCAACTGAATAGAACTCCCATCCTACACTACACTGTGAACACTGTAGCAATGAGAAAGCTTATGAAGGCTGAAATGCTAAAAAAAAAAGCCTCCCCACCCAACAGTGAGTATTAGCAAATTATTAGCACACATTAATGCAAACTTACAAATGCTTCCTTAAAATGAGGGTTTCTGAACAGCCCAAAAGCTTCTAGATACCCCCAAGTCTCATTCTGAAGGATCATTTACAGGAAGATTTAGGTAGAAGCTTATCTATAAATTTGCTATTACTTGTACAAGTTCCTCATTATTACCATGGCTTTTAAGATTTACTTTCTCACTCTGTTGTCTTTAAGAACATAATGATGAGACACAGAGGTACAGAGATGCCTGCACCAAAGTTTCTCAAGCCACTGTAAAGCTTGACTATCCACTGTAAAGATACTGTAAGAATATACTGATAACTAATGTGAGGAAGAAAAGAGAATCTCAAATTGCAGTTTCTCAACCATCTTTGCCAATTACTAATCTACTCTTTATGTTTAGAAAACACACAAAATGACACTACTGCTGTGACACTATGTTGCATTTTATTCCATGCAAAGTACTGACCCATTATTGGTAAACGCACTCAAGTTTGCATTTCTTGTTATGAAATAAGAATTCAATCCACAGGCATTATAGTATATTGTAAGCTTTGCAGAACTGCTATTGTGCCACAAGTTGCTCCTTCTATTTTAGAAACTTGGCAGAAATATTAAACTCTATATAACACTCAGTTCTAATGATAAGATGATCGATATGAAAGACCTGCAACATTCAGAACTGGAAGATATTTAAGTAGTCGCATGCCTGGGAATTTAAGAACACATCTACGTGAGTCACTGTAATCATACCAAAGAACACACAACTATACTGGTGTTTAAAAAAAAAAAAAAAAAACCTGTCGTAATTGTCCATAAAACCTTAAAAGCAAAATGAGCTTAATTTTGTTTCATGGACTATTTCTTGAAGTAAATAACTGCTTTATAATTTTACTTGGTATTAAAGTCCAATTATTGCTATGAAGGTTTTACTTTCTAGCAAGTAAGTTGGGTTCACAATTGTACAGTGACATCATGGCTACTTAAATAGGTCCCACAAATTTCAAATAAACTAGACTAGCAATGCTCTAGTAACAGTAGAGCAATGTTCTCATGTTTGTGACAAGTGAATCAAAAAGGCATACATGTATTTATCCCCCCCCCATATTAATGATTATCAAGCCAAGTTACCCTATTCTGGAAAAAAAAAGACTCAGACAACTCCTTAGACAACTATATAAGATTAGGCTGACCTGTACAAGTATAATGAAATTAATTTCCTTCTTATTGAAAGGAAATGCACTGAAAATGCAAAATAACTGGGAAAGAACTAGGTGCCCTTTTTAATCATTTACATTGCAATTGTGTTTCTGTTTCCTAGGGGTAAGTCCCATCAAACTCAGTGGGTCTCATATATGACTAGACATGTATATGGTTGCACTGCTAGAGAAGTGACTCCTTTGCCACTTGATCTCAATACAGCCATAGGGCAGAAATCACTATTTAGATTGCAGCCCTAAACAAACACAACAATCAAAACCCCAAAGCCTTTTTATGTGTCTTCCTAAAAAATTTTAACAGCTTAAAGCTTTCCAGGAAAAGCTAAGAACTCTTTAACTGTGACATAAACCAGCTAACACCTGGTACAGAGTGGCAAAATGCCCAAAATATGCCACCTTCTGAATAAACCACTTTCCTGTTTAACCTTAATGAGGCTGTTGGTTACTGATGAGAGAGGCAAGCAGGACATTAACAGCCAGCCATTGACTTTCTTCCTGTAATCCTACACCGAGACACTCAAGCTCCATCAACCTGAATCCTGACACTTTGTGCCATTATAACTCGGTCACCAGACGGTTCTGTATACATTAGTTCAACTAGGCTTGTTACCTCCCACTGATTTGGTGACAGAGCCATTGGGCCTCCCTCGGGCTCCCATAGGACTCCCGTTCTGTTCCAGTCTGGCCACCTTCACCGGGGGAGGACCTTTGACTTCAGGGCTGCCGCTCCCTCTGTCTGGGCTATCCCTTAGGCAAGGACTCTCGCTTCTCCGGTCCATACTACTTGGCGTTGGAGACAACGTTCCCACAGGCAGATCACAGTAAAATGAGCAGGGACCTAGAGAGAGAGAAGAGAGGGGAAAAGAAAGAAACAGTTGCTCCACTTCAGAAGCATCCTAATCGAATCAAGCATCAATTAATCACATCCACATTAAAAAGCAAGAGTGTTTCAGTCTGGAATCAAAGTGACCCACATAGCACCAAAGCGCTAGCTAGAAGATTTTGCTTTTTGCACTTGAATTAATACCCTTCCTACACCGCGAATGCGCTGCCTATGGTGCCTGGAAAGCCGGCAGCTATGAAGTACTAACACAGAAAGGTTCACAGAAGTTGATCATTTAACTTCGGCTTTATAAACCATGCTATTACTGGAGCTATTTACACACCATGGTTTCTGTCTGTGGGGTGGAAGAGAGCAATTTAGCAAAGCTAGGGACGCAGGCAAACAAATCTATTAAGAAGCGAGCGTGCAGCATTAAAGTGGCTAATGCGTTTCAGATGGCATATGAACCAATACACAATATACTGGTCCAGTGATGTACCTAGAAATATATTTAAAGATCGGTTCTGTGGTAAGCAAACTGTGCAGCGACAGTAGACAGACCTACAGTGACAGCTAACGTTTAAAAACCTAGCTCCTTCTGAAGTGTATTAAAAATAAGCAATTAAGAAAGGTATGTCAGGCATACTCATTCCTTTTAAATACTTTGCTTAAAAATCAAGGAGTTACAGTTAATTGTTACCATTTTTGCTATTATCATTAGGCAAAAGAAAACCGAAATACACATTTGCTTGAAAAGGGGGGAAAGCCTTCCTCCCGTGGTCTTTCTCGGTTCTCCGCTCCTGCAAGTCCTAGATAGAGCACTGGCAGGTCGGTTCGATATTTTGTGCCGAAATGCTATTTCAAGCAGATTGAGTTTTCAAGCTTGACTACACAACATAGTACAGCAAAATGAAGAAGAAAAAGCCACAGCTAGAGCGGCTTACAGAGTCACACAGAAACAAATAAATGAGGGGCAGCGCGACATATAATAGCAGCACTTTCGCCGTAAGTCCTCCAGTGCCAATGATTATAAAGCCCATCGCTTCGTTCTTTGCGTTTGTTTTGATCTCGCTTCTGAGGATAAGTCTCTTGAAACAACCGCGGCGAATTTGGGGTAAGGCTTCCCTACAGTACTTACTGCTTATAGTCTGTCCGTAACTTGGCTGAGTTGGGCTCTGTCCATGGATCAAAAGTAGAGAATCCAGGGTGGAAAGTTTTCTCGAGTCCGCTTTGTACGCTATTTTCTTGGCTCCCCACCCCACCCGACCGCCGCCTCAAGTCCCGATGGCTGTTTACGCTCCCGGGTCAGGATGTCTCGTCGCCTTGCGCCGCGCAGACAGCTCGATCTTTTGAGGAAAGCGCTCTCGCCCAAAGGGCGCCCGAGGCGGCGAGTGCAGAGCGGAGCCGAGTTCTGCGATCGGGGAGGAGGAGGAGGAGGGGAGGAGGAGGAAGAGCAGGAGGGGGAGACGCGTCCTCACACCTCCGGCAAAAAGGGGGGAAGAAATCGAGGGGGAGGGGGAGAAAAGGGGTGGAGAGGCTGCCTCTAAAGGGGACGCTATCCCGGGCGAGCGAAGAAGCGGCCGCAGGAGCCGGTGCTCTGATCGGCGCCGAGCAGCCAACAGCGCCCGATGTGTCACTTTCAATCTCTGTGTGCGTGTGCCAGGCAGCAAGAGCAGCAGCAGCAGCACGAGGGATTCGCCAGAGAGGAGACAAATGATTATTAGTTGCGTTGAGTCATCAGGCAAAGTGAGTCCTTTTCTGGGGTTGTCCTTCCTTGCTTTGGGAATTTGGGGGGGGGGGTGATGTCTCGTTTATTTCCCCTCCTCTCCCTCTCCCTCCCTCCTCCCGGCGCTTGGAATCCAAAATAACAACAGCTCCGCTTCCTCCCTTCTCTTCCCCTCCTCCTCCTCCCCCCTCCTCCTCTTCCTCCTCCTCCTCCACTCCTCTCTCTCCCTCGTCCCCCAAAATAGTATCTGCGTTATCTTACAAGATCGCTTTTCCAGGACAGAGCCCTTCCCCTTTCCAAAATGGCAAGGATTTTTAGATTTATTCTTACAAATTGCTGCTGCTGCTGCGGCCGGCACCGCCGTTTGCATGAGGCGGGAGGAGGGGGGAGAGAGAGAGAGAAGCCCGCCTGGCAGGAAATTAAAGCCCAATAAATATATAATTAATTTGAACACGCAGTTCTGGCAAGCGGGCAGGCCAAACTAGGAGCTAAAGGGGGAGTGAAGAGAGGCAGGCAGGCAGGCGAGTGGCCGTGCATGGACTAGTGGGACGAGGACTAGTGCGTAGGAAGAGGGCAGTGTTAGGGGAAAGAGAGGCACGTAAAATCGAGGGGAGACGAGGCGAGAAATGGCGGGGGGGAGAGACAGCAAGCAAGCGAGGCGGCGGCTGCGAGAGTGAAGAGCAGCAGCCACGCGGGAGGGCACTCGGGACACGTGGGGACGGGCGGGGGAAGGAGGCTGGCCGGGAAGGGCAGGGCGGCAGTGGGGAAGGAGGGATGTAGCTGCTCGGAGGCTTGGCATAAGGCGAGCTGCGCGTCCATTCCGGGCGCTCCCTGCCCTGTCGCCCGGCCTGTGGCCGCGGCAGGGCCTCAAAACAAACGCACATGGCCCTCCCCTCCGCGCCGTCCTCACGCAGCGAGGGGAGGGGGCGGCTGCGGGTCGAGGGGAGGGAGGGACGTCCTCGCCAAGCCCCTCTTCCCTCGCTCTCCGCCTGGGGCTGAGGGCGGCCAGGGACCTCCTCCCGCTTGGACGGTCCCCGCGGGAAGGGCACGGGCGGTGGCGGGATACGGCGGGCTGCGCGCCTTTTCCTTTGCGGCGCTGCGTGGTCGGGGAGGCCGCAGAAGCCGGTCGCAAGGCCAGCGGGGCGCAGCGCCCTCCGCGCCCGCTTCCTCGTTGCTCCTGGGAGGAAGGGATGGGAGAGGGCGCTGAACAGCCGTTGCCGCGGGCAGCAGCGACTACTGGTGAGAGCTGAGGCGAGCGTGGGCCACTGAAAACACGCCGCGCCCCGGGAGAGCCAAGCGCTGAAGAGGCGCTTTGCCTCGTCGGCTAGAGCGGGGGGGTGGGGCAGCCGCGGCGCGCTCCAAGAGTTAACGGGCGCCGGCAGCGAGGCTGCCCCGCACTTCGGCAGCGCTCCCTCCCCACACGGCCCGTGGGGGGGAGCCCGGACCCCGCCCGCCCGCCGGCCACAGTTCTTCTTCCCACCCCACCCCGGCGACAGCGACCCTCTCCTGCTCCGAGGCCGCCTCAGAATTGAAGCCGCTCAGCGGCGTCGGCGTCAGCACCGCTTTTAAGGTGGCCCAGTAGCGGCCCCTTCTCTCGCCCTTCCGCGCCGTCTCCTGCCGCACCGGCTCGCGGAGACCAACCGCCCCGCAAACCACCTCCCTCGCGCGCTTCCAGCCGCTGAAAAAACCGTGCGCGCTCCAGCCGGCGAAGGAGCAGAAGTCGACCGCCCGAAAACTCGGTCGGGCCCCCTTAAGAGATCTTGGTTTTACGGTGGCGCTAGAGGGTCAAAAACAAAAATAATAAAATCCCAAACCAGCCTGGGTGGATTTTTAAGATGTGTGGGGGGGTGCGCGTTCAGCACAACGAAAGAGGGACACGTTTCGACGGTGGGGAGGGGACGGATTAAATCGACCTCCTTTTCGGGATTTAACAGATTATTGAATTTAGGCGCGTACAGGGGTGGCAATAGGGGCAGTAGCGCTGGTCTGATCCAGGACGATCGCATGACTGGAGGCAATTGAGATACGATTATTAGGGAGGGACCAACCCGTCTCCAGACAATGTCAGCGATAGTGCCAGCTGCAGGAAAGCCGAGGAAGTCAAAGCGGAGCGGGGAGGGAGAGCCCGCAGGGCTTCCACTAGGTCCCTGTTCCGAGGGGACCCGCTTGCTCCACCATAAACCCGCGCTTGGATCGCAGCCCGCTCTCGTGCGGAGCCAGGCGCTTCCCAAACTCTGCAGCTTCGGTCTTCCCCGGCATTTCGAACGGCAAAAGTTGGAGAGAAGGTCAGGGCGGGCTCCCCGCTGTCAGACGCGTCTCCACGGACGCTTTGAGGGGCGCTCACACGAGCCGCAGCCCCGTATATAAAGAAATCTCTGTGTCTGCGGCCAAAACAAAAAAAGTGACTTTGCGCGCGTAGGTGTCGCGAAGGTTATGCAACCTACGAACCGGGCGGAAGGGAGCCAAGGAGACTCCCGATTAGCTCCGCATAACCTTGCCGAGGCCTTTATTCAGCGGGAAAACAAGTAGGAGCTCTTTTATTGCACCACACGCACATACGCACACATCCAAATCGCAAGCCGCTTCGAAAGGAGGCAAAGAACGGGCTTGTTGTTTCTTTGAGGTTTGGGCTCTGCTGGAGTTTGGAGCCTGGCGGTAGAAGCTGAACAGCGGCGGCGGCGGCTGTTGCTATTGCGCCTTCCGTCTCCAAAGGATGATAATAGGCTGCGAAGGGTTCGCGTCTCTCTCCCTCCTCTGTCCCTTTTTCTCTCTGGGCTTCGACCCGCTCTAGGAAGTATTGCTGGCTGGCAGCCTGGGAACCACGGAGAACCCCTGAGCAGGGTAAGCGATTAACTCCAGATCATTGCCATTTGAAATCGGAGTAGGGCAAGAGGGTCCCTCCCATCCCGAGAAAAGCAGCGGTTCTATAACAGAGGATGAACTCCCCCCCCCACGACACACACACGCACGCACGCACGCACCTCTCCTGCGAAATGCTCCTGTGTGTGTAGCTAGCATGCATGCTGCGATCTAGTCCCGAAGACTTACGGAGAACTTTGCTCTGCTTTGGCATTCAGAAGCGGGGTGGGGGCGGCGACGGTTGTATGCCCTGCTGAACTTTGGGGACCCAGCTGCAGACTTCCGACTGCTAAAGGTGAGGGGCTGTTCTGCCCTCGCCCTAGATATGTAGCCGGGCAAGGATGTTTGGATCGGAAATAGTTGAAGTCGAAGCACTGAAAAGAATTACTCCAAAGTTACTTCAGATAGGGCTTATTTTTGGAAAGGAGCGAGGAGAGACAAAGTGAGGCGACTTTAAAACAAAGAAAAGAAACCAAACGTGGGGGTGAAGGGAGCGGGCGGGTTAAGCTGCCGATGACACCGAGCCGTTATCTGACAGTCTTTTCCCACTAGTTAGAATGGCAATTTTCCTCTTACCTTGATTATCCGGATCGGTAGCCAACACTGGCTTTCGGCTTGAGTACTTCTGGTGAGAAAATGCTAATGGTTTGAGGCAAGATCTTTCCCTGTCCGCGGCTAGTTCGTCACTATTATTCTCACTGATGGCTAGAAAAAGTCAACCGAAGCTCATTAATGAGCTATTTTATAAAACCCAAGAACTGATTTCATTTGGTCACGGATCGCTTTTAGCACCGCAGCTCTGTGTGAACAACCTGATTGCAGGACTTCCAGTTCAGCCTTCATACAGAGAATACAACCGGATTGTTAACTTATTCATATTTTATAAAGTGTTAATATTTTATAAAGGTTTTAGGGAAACTATCGATTCTAAATTATTCAGCCGCTCCCAGGATTATCTGAATAATGTATACAATTAAACACATATATAACATTGGATATATTTTTTAATGTAACATATACTTTTATCATTTTGTTTTGCCTTAGGTTGGTTTTCTTGTGGTGAATTTAAAGTTTGTGAAAACTGTAACGGAGACATAAAAGTCTTGTAACTAGAAGTACCAAACGGGTAAAACGAGTCTTACTCGAGAACACAAAATATTATTATTAAATAGCATCAAATTGAAGCTACTGCATATATCCTTTACTGCTAGGTTCTTGTGGGTTTCCTGGGTTCAAAAACAAAACAAAACAAAATTGTAAACATTGGCCGGAGAAATTGCAATTCTAAGCACATCTAGATGGAGCGAAATAAAGAGTTTCTAATATATTTATAACTGCCCCCCAATAAAAGCATTTTCTGTTTCAAATTATGTATGGTTTCTATAGTTGATCATTTTCACATATTGTCTTTATCTGAACAGGGGGGAAAACACATTTCTTTTTTCTCCTGCTAAATATAAAGCCAATTTGGGTGATATAATAACTGCATTTTCTGCACTTAAGAAACTAATTCAAGGACGTTTAGCATGTTTTGGTGGCTGGGGAAAAAAGAAGGGGTTCTTAACTCAGCGCTAACATACACTTATGTTGTAGGGGTGAGTTTTCCCTTCCTAAGAGTCCTCATGGAGACTTGGGTCAAATCGCATTGTGGGTTGCTTTTAATCACCTAACACCGTTTTATTCCCTCTCCTCCAACCTCTGACACATTTGTATTAATTCAACATCATTACTATCCAGCTTCCTAAGAATTGGGGTGGAATGGCTCTTCCTA